TTCTATTCGGTCCTGCAAAGATTAGGTTCCGTAGGTAGGAACTCACTTCGTTGCATTTTTTAAGTTTTTAAGAAACATGAATTTTAGCCAAAGTGATCAAACAAATACAGTTAATACGACACTGAAATGCAACAGTACACTGGTATTTGGACTTTATGTCCTGTTCTGATTCAGTCCATATACAAAGAAAGACAAATTTAAACAGAAAGGGTACAGAACCAAGCCGCAAGATTCTGCACGAACAACTATGAAACTAACGGAAATGAGAAGAAACCTACAGTGGGTGTCACTGAAAGACAGACGAAAAAGTCGTCTGGGCTTTAATTTGTTAGGGTGGGTCGGGTATACCTGAAACACAGCAGTTTTTTTTCCTATGCATAATATTGCTATAGCTACTATGGTGGACTGAAACTGTTTGTAATAGTTAGCACGTACACGTGATTTTATGTGGTTCTCTGGCGCATTAGTGCGTTTTTCTTTTAGATTTTATTAGCTCTCTTTGCTTACTTTTCTGGTTAGAAGACCCTGCCAAGGCCGAAAGCCAATGTTGAGGTGATTGTATACTATTTTGGGTTGATGTACGCACCGACAGTGGCCAAATATCCGTAAGGATGAAGTTAAAAGTCTCGGCATACCCATACAGCTATAGAGGCATATAAACCCATTTGAATAACGGGGTAGTGATAGCAATAGTGGTCTTATCTTTGGTAACAGTTCTATGTTGCCTTTCTGTATCTTGTTTCTCATACACATACTCTGTCACGGGTACTTCATAAGTTAATTGGGCTTAGGTGCCACTGAACCTATGAGAAGACTCTCTATTTCACTAAGCATCCCTGCGTAGGACAGTACATACGTGTATTTTAATTGAGAAACTAATTCCAACCAAATCTGTATATGTATATAGTTTCAACGCATATGACAAACATACGTCTGACGTTTTCAAAATCATATCCAGTTGCTTGAGTAACTGTTTTTTGGCATATCGTATTACCTGGATGTCTAACCTTCATCGACGTATGACAAACATAGTCTGTTCAGTTGTAGGTTTTACTCTCAAAGCAGATCTAGAGGTTCAGACTTCGGCTTAGTTCCGCGTATTTTATCGGGCTTTATTGTACAGAAATGTTCTTTTACACCAGCAAGTTCTTGCCTAAACCTCTGTTTGGAGGGTAGCTAGCTTTGGGTACTAGTTTAGCAAAACTAGCCTGAGTGTCAGTCTTTTAAGCTTTCGGCCGCTCCCCACGATCCGCTACCGGCCAAAAACACTGAACCCATAGCCTCTACCAGGCTTCGAGAGGCGGCTGGAAAGAGTAGAAATTGCTCGGGAGCGGCAAACTGTTCTCTCCAGTCGACCAAACTCCCTTGGCATGCTGTCTCTCTATTAGGCCGATTTCTACTCCTTCCAGCCGTCTCCCGAAGCATTGTAGAGGCTACTGAACCCGCACGTAGCCGGTAGCGGATCGTGGGTAGCGGACGAAAGCTAAAAAGGCTGACACTCAGGCTATAGCAAAAACAATCCCAACCGATGCATCTACTTGCAGAATTGAAAAATCCACGCTACCCGGTCAGAAGAGAATGCGACATTGTCCTCCTCGGGGACAGTGACAACTGTCGGTGGGGACAGTGACACATCACATGTAGAACGGGTCATTACGGTTCTGAAGGCTGGATAGAGTAGAGGGTAATGAGTTAGAACGGGCGAAACTCCCGTCAGCAATGTGTGCAAACCGGAAATGATGGAAAGGGTGACTATCACTGACCATTTGTTTCAAATTTGGTAAAAATGTACACGGAATTGAAAATTATTTGCTAACGCTTGTACACAGGCCTTCCTATATCTTCATCTCCCACAGTATTCACACTCCCCTGGAAAAACAGAACTGTCAATACTGTAATTTAGATAGAACAGAAGATGAACATCATTTTGTAGTAGAATGTAGTTTGTACGACAATGCGAGAGTAGAAATTTATAGACTGATACCTAGCCTCTACCAGGCCTGGTAGAGGCCATAATGCCCTACTTCCTATACACCAACGTAATAGATCAGATTTCTAAAACTCGAACTTAGACAAACCTCTGATCCTGAAACCGTCTGTTCTTACCTTTTCACCATCACAGAGAAGCGAGAAGTCGAATTTACATACATGTAATAGATCTAGACCATAGTGCTAGTGCCGGCTTCATCGGCCATATTCAGTGTTCAGGAGGCTATATTCGGCTATCTGTGACAGGGACTATAACATTAAAATTTCCTAGCCTCTACCAGGCTTCTGGAGGCGGCTGGGAAGAGTAGAAATCGGTCAAATAGAGAGATAACATGCCAGGGGAGTTGGTCCGCTAGAGAGTACATATTGCCGCAAACTGTAATATCTAGCAGACCAAGTCCCCTGGCATGTTATCTCTCTATTTGGCCGATTTCTACTCTTTCTAGCCGCCTCCCGAAGCCTGGTAGAGGCTAAAGATGTCTCACCCCACATCTACCTTATAGTTGGACTGGCTTCGAAGGAAACAAACTACCTTCCTGCGGCCGGACTCCCTTGGCCAATTTACTCCTTTTTTTATGCCGAATTCTACGATCCGTATTCCCGTAGAAAGGCCTGGTGGAGGCTACTTCTGGGAGCCATATTCGGCTATGTGTACGTGTGACAGGGGCTATAACATTAAGACTTCTCACCCCACGTCTACTTGAAGAAAAGTGATCTACAGGCCCTGGTAGTTGATTTACAGTCCCGCTGTGTGGTAATGACTTTACGGCCTGTCCTGTTGTTGTCCTGTTATTGTCCTGTTGTTGTCCTGTTGTCAGGACGGCGGGAGGCGAAGTTTATGGACTCCGGAAACAGGGATCATATATCAGTCAGTCTGCCACGGGCGTTTTGTTCACGAGCTGAAGCCCCTGTCACACATTTAGTCTCTACGCTGGCTTATATATAGGAGAATAATTGCCAGGGGAGTTTGGCCGCCTGGTAGGTTTGATGACAAGCCACGAACGAAACTACCTCCCCGCGGCCTGACTCCCTTGGCCAACCTGTTTTTGCTTTAAAGGCATCCAGTGCAGTTTTCAGGGCTTGGAAATCAGATTTTTCGAAGTCAATATTCTAGTCACTTATCTACATACTAAGTTGAATCACACTGTCCCGATGTATATTGATCCTCATGTACACCACTGTATTGAGATAAAAACATGTACATTGCACTAGTAATGGCTGTATTACAATGTTTAATAAAATGAAGTGCCGTGGCGGACACGGAAAAGTTTTTTAAAGGTAGTATGTCGGCATATGAAGTTGCTGCACAATAATATTGAACGTCTTTATCACAATGGCATGTACTTGGCTTGTAAGAGAATAAACGTAGAATAAGGGAATCTTATTCATTTATACATTCATTCATATTACCCAGTAAAAAACTTGTCTTGCTCACTGTCTTAGCCAGGCCTCTTCACATGTTATACCTACCGTAGTCAGAGCTAGACTGAGGTCTGTTACTTTACGTTAGTCGAATTTATTGGATGGTTTTATAGTACAAGCTAGCCTGGGTGCCATCCCCCGTAGTATTCGCTAAGTATAATCTCCAAGCAGATCTTTTGGTGGGGGGTAAGACAGTATCAAATTGGCCAGTCTGTAACCATTTCCCCACCCCAAGTTGGTGGTGGTAGCGACAAAAAGGGCCATATATAAAAAAGCAAACGATCTTCCACCATCAATCTCTGCTTGGAGAGTAGCTAAATAAAGGCATGGTCTTTAAAGAAATGTGTCCCACCTTCCCCACCTTAACGTACGTAGTGAGATGAGTGAATGAGATAGGTTCAAACAAAGGCCAGCAGTGTTTTACGTGACTACAGGGGGCAGGAGAACATGCCTACGTGTATCTCCCGGACAGAGGAATGTCACTCCCCTGCGAAGCTTTAAGTGTTGTGTTATCAAAGTTGCCATCTTGACAGCGTTGTCAGGAATCTTGACAATGTGTTTTAAGTACTCTTGAGAGCAATTCAAGTTGATTTATGCTATACCTTCTCGATAAAATCCAAGTTTACGTCGTTCGGTGTAATGTAGCCAGCGGCCGCCGCGCCGCGTGCCTGCGAAGCTGGTGTGTTACGGCGAAGGGCGGTTATACCGGCTATACAGATGCAGGAGCTGGTGTGTTATGCCGAAGGGTGGTTATACCGGCTATACAGATACAGAAGCTGGTGTGTTACGCTGAAGGGCGGTTATACCGGCTATACAGATACAGAAGCTGGTGTGTTATGCTGAAGGGCGGTTATACTGGCTATACAGATACAGAAGCTGGTGTGTTACGCCGAAGGGCGGTTATACCGGCTATACAGATACAGAAGCTGGTGTGTTACGCCGAAGGGCGGTTATACCGGCTATACAGATACAGAAGCTGGTGTGTTACGCTGAAGGGCTGTTATAACGGCTATATAGATACAGAACCCTCTCACAAGGGTTTGCATTCTGTTATTAATATTCATAAAGAGATATGATATCTATGTTTGTTAGCCACCATGGAAAGCACTGAAATATCCCTCGTAGCCGTACTGCGTTGGTCGTCTGTACTACCTTCATAAGTCGGCAGGTGGCGCACATTACCGTGAGGAAAGTGCGCCACTAGGCGAAGTGAGAAGGCAGTACATTAAGGCGGAGGATTGCAATGTTTGCCAGGGCATCTTTGTTCTTTCATTACTTTGTGTTTTTTATTACTTTGTGTTACATATGTATTATCATCTGTATTTCCTTTATACTGGCTTCATTTTGTTAATTTATCCTCTCATTATGTGTAAATGGTAGCGTTAAAATAAGTCTTAGAGATGCTTGACTGCGCTACCACTTTGTGTTGTACTATGTTATACTGTGTGAACAATAAAGAAAACAATTGGGTGCACACACACACACACACACACACACACACACACACACACACACACACTCACTCACTCACTCACTCACTCACACACACACACACACACACACTCTTCAAATAATCTCTCATTATAAGCTTGTTGATTTGCAAAAACTAAAAGCTTTATTATCATATATAGGAAACAATACAGCATCTCTCCAAACACTGTCAATGGTCAAATAGTGAAAACACACTATTGAAAGACTATGGAAGAACATTTCACCCGTACAGATTCAGGTTCTACGGTTTTATAAATCGTATTATTTTGAGCAACATTACACCGCACACAAGCACTGCAAACGTACACTGCAGATAGAGAAATACTATAACTTTTGGGCATTTTTGGCAATACTATAGACCGTTCGTCGACTAGAAAGTTCTGTCTTTTGAGAAGTTTGATCCTGCAGGTTATGAAGTATAGTATGGAGATAGGTAATCTTCAAGCAGATCCTAGCGTGGCAAAAGACAGTATCAAATTGGCCAGGCAGTATCCATTCGCCAGAAAGGGTCCATACGCCACCCGAGGGTGTCTTTTGCCACCCTAGGATTTACTTGGAGATTAGGAGATGTGCTGCCAGAAATGAGCCTGATCCAAGAACAGGAAAATCTGTTTCAGCGCAAAGTGACAGTCTAACATAAAAGGTAGTCCTCAGAGCTCATCAGACTAAGAACGCAGGCTGAAGAATAGTAAAATTTCGCAAAACGGGAAAAAACTTGACAGGGAGTTTTGCCACTATAGAGGTCTCATTTGCCCAAAATTGGCGAATGTTGTGTAACGTTAAATCTTTACCGCGGCCCACTCCCATAGCCAATTATTGACCCTGTCTTGGCCAAGTTCTACTATATATCCATAACACCTTAGGAAGGCCTTAGTGGAGGCTACATGAAAGATATGATAGAAGACAAATTTTCTTTTCTCTTCTCAAGCAACTTATACAATGACATTTAGGTTTATACGATATAAGATAAGCTAACTCATTGCACAGCAAAACACACACTTCAAATACCAAAATACATCTAACACTCAGATATATAATCACACCGTAAACACTATGAGACAAAAATACTTCCTTTCTGATCATAAAATCATGAGGTAGCGAGAGAATTTTCTTCAAAGCAACAACAGAAACGACTACGTCAGCAACTTGTGTAATCATCTCAATGACGTCATCAATTTCAGGGTGAAATTTGTGTTGATTGAAGAGAAGCTCTGACTCGTTCCAGAACGTCTGCAGAACGTACTGCGCATGCGCTAAACACCGTTGAATTTTACCTGTTTCGACATAACATTTTTAAAGTACAGACGGGATGTTAACCTTACATGTATACGCAAATGCGACCTTATATGAGACGTTCTGAGGAAGTGCTATGCACAATACATTACGGGTTTGCGCAGGTGCAGTACGTTCTGCCGAGGTGCTGGTGGGGAGAGAATTTTCTTCAGTTCTTCAAAGCAACAACACAAAACGACTACGTCAGCAAATTGTGCAATTATTTCAATGACGTCATCAGTTCCGGGGGAAAATTTGTGGTGGTGATTGAGGAAAAGCTCTCGTTCTCGTTCCCAGGCTGAGTTGTTGTTCAGGCATGCGCGGTGGCGTCCATCTTGCCCTGCGGCCCGCTGTAGGGCGGCAGATCCACGTCGGCGCCGAAGTTGTCCCTGGGCGTGATACGGATCTCCCTGATCCGGGTGGACTTCCCGCCGGAGATCTTCACCGCGATCACGATCGACACGCCGATGATCAGGGCAGCGCCGAGAACACCTAAGTTACCATGGCAACGAGAAATACGAATTGTTTTTGTTAAACATCCCCTAACAATACTGCATAACAAAAACGCTGAGTTCGTATATACCTGTTTTAAGAAGAGGGAAGAAACACGTCAACTGTATCAATGTTAGCCTTATATGTTCATCCATCTGTAGCTGTATGCAATAGATGTAGTGCAGCACCTTTGTAGAATTTTAGTGTCTATACGACTCATGTGAAACTACATGTACTGCGCTTAGTCATCATGGGCAAGAATGTGCAAATGACCCTTCTTTGTATGACATGAAACAAAGTCTTCTGTACTTTAGATGGCTAATAAAAGTATGCGTCTGTCACTGTTATATAAAGGACAATCTATGGTAAAATCAGGTCCTCTACTCTATCAAATATAATCAAATCAACATGGCCTTAGAAAGAGAAAGCCCCCCTCACCTCCCACAATGGCGCCGATCATGGCGGCACTGGGGCCTGAGCTGACCTCTGACCCCTCGCCGTAGCTGTCCTGGTAGTCAAACGTCACCGACACGAAGTTGGAGGTTCCGCCGGTGTTGCCGTTGTCATCAAGAGCACTGGAGGAAGGAAGGGACTGATTATGCTAAAGATCATGTATTAAAATGGGATATTTTCAATCATAAGTTTCATTTACCTGGTCAATGGTTCAGCAACTCCGTAGGCCCCATTCCCACTAGGATAAATTGTCCAAATCGAGCCGGATTGATTCGCTTTGATCCGGCTTCGATCCGGCTAAGTATGGTGTTTCATAAGAACTTGCAAAAGAATGCAAGACTATGGCAGAGTAGGCACAACGGCTTAGCAGCACCTCCCTAGGGAAACATAGAGTACTGCAGGAACCTACGTGACGGCAAAGACGACGGTCTTGTCGTCCGATCACTTGCTCAAAATCATGAAATGATGGCAGTGCTATGCAAACAATAACCCTAACAGTTACCGTCGCCATGGCAATGTATGTTTTCATTGCCAGTCTTGTTTCTGAATAAATAAATTTAAAAAAAAACCTACGTGACGGCGAAGACGACCGTCTTGTCGTCCGAGAGCGGCACCAGGACTTGGATGTACTCGTGGAAGCCGGCCGGGACCGGGTTGGTCAGGCTGCCGCTGGCCAGCATGGAGCCGTTCACGGGCGCAGCGCGGTCAAACCCGGAGCGGAGGGACCGGGTGTCACGGCTCATCCGCACGTCGTACTGGGAGGCTATAGGCAGAAAAGACGGACACAAAATAAAGCTTGATCGTAATCTCCAAGTAGATCATACGGTGGCAAAAGACAGTATTAAATTGGCCTGGCAGTATCCATTAGCCAGAAAGGGTCCATACGCCACCGGAGGGGTGTCCCGCCTCATCCGTATGTCGTACTGAGAGGCTACAGACAGAGACATCATCATGATCAGGCCTCTAAAAACTAGTACAAAACACTGGTAGCGTTCTAACCTCGCCCTAGGTCGTAGTCGTGGACCCTAGGGTGGCAAAAGACAGTATCAAATTGGCCAGGCAGTATCCATTAGCCAGAGTCCAGTACGTATTGGACCCTAGGGTGGCAAAAGTCAGTATCAAATTGGCCAGGCAGTATCCATTCGCCAGAGAAGCCAATTTGAAACTGTCTTTTGCGACCCTGGGATCTGCTTGGAGATTATATGCTTGGATATCACGAACACCGTGGCGTTCTCACCTCGCCCTTGGTCGTAGTCGTCTCCTGGTGCCGTCCATCGCAGCAGCACGGTCCGGTCGGAGTAGGACACCTTCACCACCTCCAGGTCGGTAATACGGGCCGAAACGACCAAACAAAACAAACAAACAAAACACCGTAGCGTTCTCACCTCGTCCTTGGTCGTAGTCGTCTCCGGGCGCCGTCCATCGCAGCAGCACGGTCCGGTCGGAGTAGGACACCTTCACCACCTCCAGGTCGGTAATACGGGACGGAGGGAAGCCGTCCTCGGGCTTGTAATCCAGCAGCTGGAACACTCCTGCTGCCGACTGCCGCTCGAACGACTCCACGGGCTGGTAGGACGTGGTGGACGTCGGCATCTTAGCTGTAGGACAAGGAGAACATGTTATAGTTGTTGTAATATTAAGCGAACTCAGACAACACCCCTACAACGCTCTGTCGGCATCTTAGCTGAAGGACAAGGATAACATGTTATAGTATGATGCTAAACTTTATACATTCCAAATGCTAAACTTTATTCCAACACTCCTGACGCCGACTGTCCCTCAAACGACTCCACGGGCTGGTAGGACGTGGTGGATGTCGGCATCTTAGCTGTGGGACAAGGAGAGGATGTTATAGTTATTGTGATATTAAGCAAAGTCATTCGACACCCCTCCAACTCTCTGTCGGCATTTTAGCTGCAGCCAGTGTAGGGAAGGAAAACATGTTATAGTATGATGCTAAACTTTATAGATTCCAAATGCTAAACTTTATTCCAACACTCCCGCCGCCGACTGCCGCTCAAACGACTCCACGGGCTGGTAGGACGTGGTGGACGTCGGCATGTTAGCTTTAGGACAAGGATATTATCGCATTGCGATATTATTGGATTATATATTGCATTGTAAATTAGCGATAATTCAGATTTTTCTTGAGTCTGTCAATGCTAATAAAAAGTTTTCTTATGCTTTATGTCTCTTATGTCAGGATAATACGATGCTAAATTTTATTCCAACATAAAGGTATATAGTCATAGAGATCAAATTTTCAACGACCACTGTCGCCTTCATCAGGATACGAATGGCCAATCACTTCCGAACGTGAATCCGCGAGAGTTACGGACGCGTGACCTTCAGCAATTGGTCAAACGCACCTGGCAGACCAGTCCAGGAAAACTGTATTGACTCAGATTTAACTCAAATTCGATTCGTACAGAAAGGTCGAAATCTGATCTGGCCTGCTCCTGAACTTAGTTGATGGTAGCAGGAAGGTTGTGAATTTGACAGGGGGTTAACTTACACGGGTCCTTGAAGGGCGCCGCTGAGCCGGCGATGCTGGTCTTGAGCTGCGCCTGCCCGTCCGGGTTGGTGACGGCAGCGGAGACGGAGTAGCGCCCTGTGCCCGTGAACTGGGTAAAGTAGGCGGAATAGGTGCCGTCATTCCGCGTCAGGTCAGCTCCTGGACACAACAAGATACGTACATGTATACGATATCAGGTAGGTTATACAGTATATGACTAAGACTACATCAGGATTTAGGGTACCAAACATGACTACATCACGCACACACACACACACACACGCACGCACACACACACACACACACGCACGCACACACACACACACACACACACACACACACACACACACACACACACACACACACACACACGGAACCCAGCCAAGTTGTTACCTGCTCCGTCGTCCCTGAGCTGGAGAGTGTAGGAGTTCTGCTGGCCGTCCGGACCCTGCACGGTGGCCATGACGTGAGCTCCGATGATGGGGGACAGGCCCTGTGTCACCTCCGCATACACCACTGCACGGGGCGGCCACACCTGAGGAACATCATAAAGAATTTTTTTAAAGTCTATAACAAGGTTACGATATTTTACTGATAGTGGGGTCGTGTGGCGTAGCGGTAGCGTATTCGGCCCAGGCCCAAGAAGTCCCGGGTTCGAATCCTGCCCGGTGTCACCAAACTTGTGCCCTTGGGAAAGGCACTTTACACGACTTTCCTTACTTAACTCAAGTGAAAATGAGTATTGTCCTGTTCTGTATTTGTTTCTATATGTGGGACACAACAGCAGCAACAGCTGCCTGTGTCCCACGTGTATTGCACTGTTGCAATTTCAATAAATCAACAAACAAACAAGCAAACAAACAAACACACACCTGTAGGTCGGAGTTGCTGAGCCAGGCGTTAGCAGTGATCGGGGGCTCGGCGGCGGAAGGGCGGGAGTTTACCGTGATGACAAACAAACAAGCAAACAAACAAACAAATAAACAAACACACCTGTAGGTCTGAGTTGCTGAGCCAGGCGTTAGCAGTGATCGGGGGCTCGGCAGCGGACGGGCGTGAGTTGACGGTGATGACGACCCGCTGGGCGCCGGCGGCGTGGTTGCGGACCTGGATCAGCCAGCTGCCCACCTACACAACAAGGAGAAAAGCACGTATGAAAGCTCATCTGTGTTGGTAGAATCCATGGTTGTCAAGTTCAAGCTTTGTTCCAACAAGAAGTAAACTCACTCACCATAAATTTTCGATCGAAAATTTACTGTGAGTTAACCTCTTGTGTTGGAACAAAGCCTGAACTTTACAACTAAGGAATCAGAGATTTCAAACGGCTGGGGAGTATGCAGCAATACGCTTTCAAGTGGCTTATCCTTGTTGAATCCTGGCCAGATTTTGAGACATTTGACATTTTGTTGTACCCGCGTATATGTCTGTATATCTACGTATAGTTCAAGACCTTACGAAAGTCACTGTACTTTTGTTGTGTCAAATAAAGTTCTCTTTGATCCATTCTCATTCTTCACCGATAAGCTCAGGAACGGAAGTTACAAGGAAGGTGAGATGGAAGAAAGTATGTCTATCTGAACTACAAGCGCTACATTTCCAGAAAGTGTACTCTACCTGTAACGTACTCTAACATAATAATCGTGAGATGTTGGTGTGTGTTTAGTAACTACAAATGTTAGCTTCTGATGGCACTGCGTTATCCTTGCCAAATGACGTTAAATTTCCAGTGCGTTTTTTCATTAGTGATTTTGCCTTTGCGTACACATATATTGTGGTTTCCGTCGTGTTTTGTATGGGCCCTAATAAACTGTACCAAACTAATTCACCTCTGCCTTGCAGGCCAGCTTGACCGTGGCTATCTTGGCGGCGTGGTTGTAGGACACCTTGCCAAATTACATGTTATTAAACTTTTAATGCCTTTTTTTCATTAGTAATATGAATGAATGAATGAATGAATGAATGAAACTTTATTTTCGTGTCGTGCGCATACCACGCCCAGCCCGTGTGGGCTTATACGACACCGTTTGAGAATAAATAATACATAAACAACAGAGAAACAGAGGTACAGAATCCAAACAAAATGTGAACACAAATAAAGTTAGGCTATATACAATTAAGCAGAACAGAGTGAACTCATAACAGATCATAAATGCAAATAAACAAATCTGTACATAAACTTGATAAAGAACCAAGATTTCACAAAATAAATACAAGTACATAAGGTAAATCAAATATAAATAAGAGAAAACAAATGTGTAGAAGTAACAAAAGGTGAGAACTGTTGATGTGTTATGAATACAGGTATTTTCTTCTTTTCCCCCACGCTCGATAAATGAAAGTTGCTAGGTCAGATACACCCTCGTTAAAGAGCCACTTAATTCTATTTTCATCTCTTTCCCATATGATGTCAGGTGATTTTGTATAAATTTTACGAAACATATTTTCTCGAAGATCGTCATAAAAGGGACAGTAAAAAAGAAAATGTGTTTCGTTTTCTACTTCATCCAAGTCACACATGGTACACATTCTACTTTCCTCAGGAATTCCCTGGTACCGTCCAGTTTCAATATTGATAGGTTGGCTTTGTGTATCTACCATTGCAACCTGCAACAATTTATTGCGGTTGACCAAAATTGCACTTAATTCACCTCTGCCTTGCCTGCCAGCTTGACCGTGGCAATCTTGGCAGCGTGGTTGTAGGACACCTGTGAAGACGAGTTGGTGTACACGGTGCCCCTCGGGCTGGTGACCGACCACTGCACGCCGGCGTCGGCGGTCCAGCCGAAGCTGAACTCCGTGTTCTCCCCGACGGTCGAGTCCAGCAGGACAGAGGCGTTGAAGGTCGCGCCGGCTTCGATCTTCACGGCGTTACTGTACAGCTGGAAAGAGGGGGAAATGAGGACATCAGAAAATGGACTGCATGGCACTACACTAAGGGCACGGTCACATTTCCAAGCCGGGGCCCGGCCGGGTTGTTTGCGTGAACGAAAATTAAACAATTTGTATTAAGAGTATACACCAATAGTGCTCATGGTTGATTTTCTAACACTTGTTTTGTGTTTTGCTGTCTTATATCATAATTTTCGTTCCATACGACTGCCCGGCCGGGCCCCGGGTTGGGAAATGTTGCCGCGCCTTAATTAAAGGCATCCAAACATTCCAGATGAGAAAATGTGTAAGGACAGGGCCCTTGCTTCAGCTATGTGAATGGTGTGTTCAGCACCAAGGACAGGGCCCTTCAGCTGTGTTGAGTTGTGAATAGTGTGTTCAGTACCAAGGACAGGTCCCTCGATGTGTTCTGTATCATTTCCTGCCATTTCTAAGCACGTTTGTCAACATTTTATAATGTGCCGTCACTACGTCTTGTGATCACATGTTGGAATATACCAATCACCTGCAGAGAGCTGGCCCTCGCCGCGGCGCTGTTCTGGACTCTGACGGCCTCCCTCAGTCCCTCCTCCAGGGAGTTGGAGTTGGCCGCTCCGGAGTAGAAGAACGCCCTTCCGTGCGTGATGGCGGCAACTTCCTCCATCCTCTGGTCGGCAGCGCTGGAGTAAGTCACGCTAGGAAATGTGGAAAAGTAACAGATAAACTAGAGAAATAACATTTGCAAAGCAAATGCATAATGTTTACCTTAGCTTCGGACATGGTCTGCTCTGGTAATTCTTACTCAAACACATTCACATACATGGACTACTAGTATATGGTGACACCAGTCACCATGGTGAAAGACGTCAACAAATCTTGTCATTGGTCAGGTCATAGGTCACTGTTTGGAGAAGAAGAAGAGGAAGAAACTGAGCAAAAACAATATGTTTTCCTTCGGTAAACATAATCAATTACAGTTACTAAAATTACAGTGAATTTTGTATGGTCACCTGCTTACTGCAAAATAAATGTTGCGCGAAGCTAGGGTCCTGACCAGTGAAAGTGCTAATCTCCAAGCAGATCTTTAGCGATCAGCAACAAGACAAATGTGACATTACCTGAAACAATCTCAGAAACTTTTACTTTATTTATGTCATGTCCCGACGCAATTTCCCTGTACAAAGGCCAATATATACATAACGCATTACTTAAAAAAATAATATTATATCCGACTCAACCAACTGATGTACACTATCTGTTGTACTACGTGTAAATTATATTGTATTCTGCCGCCAGTTAAGGATGTTAACATTATTTCAGGTTTTGTATTTTACATTAGATTTCTTTTTTTTCATGTTTGTATAACGTCTGTATTTATGGATCATCTACTATCAGTTTCGACTGCCCTGATGGCCCGTGTATACTGATGTGTTGTCTGTCTCCGATAAAGTAAAGTAAAGCAGGGTGTAGTTAGGGTACCTGTGTACGGTAATGCCTGCAGCAGTCATCTGCTCAGTAGCTTCAGTAAGGTTCGGGTGCACGTTGGCGCTCTCATCGCCGTCGCTAAGGACGATCACTATGCCTCCGGCGGGGTCCGCACCATTCATGCTCAGGACCTGAAAAAATACCAAATTCTGGAGGTCAAAGCTTTGCGGTAACAATTATTGTTAATCATGTTTGAACTTAAAACTTTTGTTCCAACACAAAAGGTTAATGTTCTCATCAAGAGCTTTCGACCAGTCACTCTGGTCTTCCTCAGTAGACTGACCCAGTAAGACATGTCACGTGGCTTCTTTGAAGTGTGACCTCAACACTGGGTCAAAGGTATCTGGTAGACGATGTCGGCCCCCGTCGCGGTTCAATGAAGGGTGATGGGCCCTTATGTGAATGGCCTCTTTCTCCCCTCTCAGTAGTCTTGTTCAATGTTGACAACACACTTCAAAGAAGCCACGTGACTAGTCTCACTGGGTCAGTTTACTGAGGAAGACCAGAGTGACTGGTCGAAAGCTCTAGGTGAGAACCTTTTGTGTTGGAACAAATGATGTATAACAAAAAGTTGTAGGAAATTAACCATGAGCACTATTTGAGTACAATACAAATTGCTTATTTTTCGTTCACGCAGACAACCCGGCCTGGCCCCGACTTGGAAATGTGACCGTGCCCTAAGTAAGTAATTACCTCCAGAGCTTCCACCAGGCCACAGCCGATGCAGGTCCCTCCGGAGGCCAGGTTCGGCACGATTTCCGCCAGCTCCTCTCGGTCTTCTTCGGTGACGATTTCCGTCAGTTCCTGGAGGCGCACCGCGTTTTCGCGGAACCTCACCATGCCGACATGCGAGCCGTCAGGGATCCCCTCACGCACCAGCTTGTACACCGTCTGATACAGCAGAGAGCGACGGGGGGTGCCGACGGACTGGTCGTCAACCTAAGAAGGAATATTTAATAAGGAAATTTCTGTAATTTATGACTTTATTATAGTATGATGTGTATATGTTTATGTATGTATGTATTTCGTAATGTCTGCGGGGCCCAACATCAGCTGTAGTTGCCAGGGCCTTCCACTGTGTTGCAATGTATGCAATTTAAATAGATAAACTAGAAAGGCCAATATTTGCTTTGGAGCAAATACAGCGATGGGTTCACCACATTTTACGACATGGCAGGGAAAGAATGAGAAATACAAGGGAAAACAATGATTTATATTGATATAACTATAATAAAGGGTTAATGCACTGCCCCGAGTTGTATATGGTGTCATAACTGCATGAGCAGCTGCCATAACCACCGAATAAACCACCGTGTGAGCGAAGCGAACGAGGTGGTTTATGAGGTGGTTATGGCAGCTGCCCATGCAGTTATGACACCATATACAACGAGGAAAAGGCAGTGCATTAAAATTATTATCATATAGCCTATCCAAACTGTCAATCAACACAATTCCTGTTTGAAATACAACAGCTTTAATATATATACATACATAAAAATACATTCGAATATATTATACGCTTTAAAACAAATATGGATAATTTCATTTAATGCAAATTGTAGTTTAAATGAAGCTAATAAAAAAGTTTATTGGACAGAAAAATGCTACAAAGGTTTACAGAAAGAGTCGCATGCCCCTATACCCTATAACATAATGGTATCAGCCATAACACGACATGTGCTGTTATTCCGCCATAACACCACATGTGCTGTTATCGGGAAATAACAGCACGGGTATCCGGGTCTCTGATTGGTCCACGCCGTCCGGCTATATGATAATATGAAGTAACATACGACTAAAACAACAGTTGGATAGCTATTCCCTACTTTATTATGGGTTCACCACACCACGAAGTGGTGTGGTGAAACCATATTGCTTTTTCTGATGTTTCTTCTTCTTCTTCTTCTTCTCCTGCCATTTTTTAAATGGATTCAGCTTCTTCATTTTAGGGCCCAAGGTCCTGAAATTTGGTATGGAGGTACAGTGGGCAAATACCCCTAGGCGTTTTTAAATTATTGTGATACAGGCTTTTAGAATGGTTTTGTTTGAGCTTTTTGGCTGTGTTATAGCAAATGTATTACTGTGCTGTGTACCACGTTTGGGCATGAGTCATCACAATGGAATGCAGGGCATCAACCAATAGGCATGCAGCTTTCCTCTATTCTTCTTGCTGATTGGCTGTTGGGATTTAACTTGATTAACACCTGCACAGAGCATTTCCACCTGCACAGAGCTGTATTCAAGTGTTTTGGTAGGTATTTCAAGCTTTCCTGCTCCAGCATTGGAATGCGGGGCATGGTACGTTTTTTTATTTTGTAAATCAACAGTTTGCATTATGCAATTAAAATACCTAACCAATAAAGTAGGGAATAGCTATCCAACTGTTGTTTTAGTTGTATTTTACTTCATATTATAGTTATATCAATGTAAATCATTGTTTTCCCTTGTGTTTCTCATTCTTTCCCTGCCATGTCGTAAAATGTGGTGAACCCATCGCTGTATTTGCTCCAAAGCAAATATTGGCCTTTCTAGTTGGTTAGGATTTTTAATTGCATAATGTAAACTGTTGATTTTCAAAATAAAAATAACGTTCATGCCCCGCATTCCAATGCTGGAGCAGGAAAGCTTGAAATACCTACCAAAACACTTGAATACAGACATACTGTCAGTATGGAAATGCTCTGTGCAGGTGTTAATCAAGTTAAATCCCAACAGCCAATCAGCAAGAAATGCTCTAGTGCAGGTGGAAATGCTCGTGTGCACGGTGTTAATCAAGTTAAATCCCAA